ATCCTTTGGGCATCGAATCAGCTAGTAACTTCCACCAGCTTAGTACTCTAGATTTCAACAGAGGAACCGCGAGAGCGGTCTTTTGCCTGTTGCTACACTCACAACTCTCAAACATCGTCTCCATCTCGGAGATCCAGTTTATGACTTCCACCGGCGTCGGGCTTCCAGATAGACTTGGTGGTTTGGACGCCATGAAATCCTTGTATTTGCATCCACGTCCATCATTTCCTCCATCCTGGTGGTTTTGCCTAACTATCGGTGGGTTGGCTTGACCAACAGTCCCACTGTAGTTTCCCTCCTCAGTCTGCCCTTCGTTCAACTCGGGCTGTTCGATCTGTATGGTTGCTTCTTCTCGATTTTGCTGGAGCAAACGTCTGGTTTCCTCCATTTGACGATCCAACATCGCCTGGATCATCGCTTGCACTCCGTCCATTATTATTGGCTCAACAGTGGTTACCATAACCGGTATTTGCTCAATCACCGGGGGTTGGTTCCGGTTCCCATTTGCATTCATGTTTCCGCTACGGGTCCTTGCCATCTTGATCTATACACCGAATAAGGTGAATCTAGACCTTTACTTAAGATTGACGTTTAAATCATCCTTATCACTCCGAAACGTTTATATGCTAGTTCTAATATCGTATTCGTACGTTTAGAATCCTAAACACATAAGGTTTCCAGATCCGGTCGGCAACAGACCATAGATCCGATCAAACTATAGCATCATTTAGCACGTAAAAGGAATTTAGGCATCATTCGTAAAATAAGCTAGTGCTTGTGTCTATTCAGGTGCGTTACCTAAATCTATTTGACACACACCTCACAATCATCACTTAGCATTCAATTTTAAGTCTAGAAATAAATCCATATTCCTAGTTCGCTTAAACTAATGCTCTGATACCAACTGTGACATCCCCAAAATCACGGCCAGAAAAGACCGATTTTGTATATGCTTTATAAAAATCAGAGTACTTCATTTTATAAAAAGGTTGCGGAATTTGTTCCTACAAAAACATGATAAATACGTTATTAAAACATTTTCGAAGAAATGTATTTTTATTCATCTTAAAACGTTTGGGATGTCATCGTTAATACAGAAACATAAGCAAAAAACAGAACTTACAATTATTTACACTAGTGATTTACATCTCTTTAAATCTCTCAGTGTAATGTCACTTCATATCGCCACCTGTGATGTAAATAAACTGAGTGGGTCAGGTTGGGAAACCTGGTGAGTACATAGGGTTTTCAACCCACAATAATATAGTTATTATGTTTAAACAATCAAACACTCAACCCAATTACCCATCCCCATTATCTTCTTTTAGTCTTCCCTAAAGATATTATCTCAAGGGTCATCTCCTATATCATTTTTACTTCTCATCTCGTTACATCGTATTTCCTTATATGATTGTTCCTACGAACTTTACCTAAGGATCATCGCCTACATTGCATAGACAATACTAATCCGGGGATTACTCCCTCAATATGTGTCTAGTAAGATTTAGGGTACCATCGCATGATTACACAGCCAAAACATCACCTGGACTTGTAAATCATGATAAGGGTTAGTCTATCATTGCATGAGTACGTAGCCACAACATCGCCTGGACTCGTACTTCATAATAAGGGTTAGAATATCATCGCATGAATACGTAGTTACAACATTGCCTGAACTCGTAATTCATCGCCTACAGGTTACTAGCCTACTGGTGTTTCCACAGGGTTGTCTATAATAGTCCGCGGTCGCCATCTATACTCTGGTAGATGTCTACATCTCCAAATTGTCGGACAAGGTTTTAGTATCCTACATCACCGATTCATAATCACCTATCTATCATCACCTTCCTATCATCACCTACCTCTCATCATCACTCACCAACTATTTCATCTACCCATGTTTTATCCCAACATATTTTTAGATATAAAATAAATATACAGTTTAAATCATTTAAAACATGTATAAATCATTCATCGAGCATAGACGACAAATATTCAAACAATATGCACACATAGCACGTAATTTATATTAAAATACTTCATATCTATGTGTAAGATGAAAGGGACCATGCACTCACTTGATTAGGTGGTGACTCAGCACTCGGACAGCGGTTCGATACTCTCAAAATGATATTCCTTCGATAAAACCTAGTATTGATACCACTAGGGTTTACTCTAATGATAACCGCGACAAATTAATTATCTGACTATTATTATTATTATATAAGCGTTAATAACACTCAATATAACTCATAATAATAGCCCAAATAATTATTTTAAGGACCTAATAACATTCCTATATTAAAACATAAGCTAAACTAAAGATAGGATAGGTACAGCTCACTTACAGTGGGTTTTTCTCGAAAACCGGGCTTCGATGGAGCAGCGTTCCCGAGCCGAAAGGCTCTTTTCTCGGGACTCCGGGAGCCTCGGGGCTTCCTTCGGGTGCTAGGGGGTTTACCTAGGCTTTTAGGGGGGTTGGGGAGCTTAGAGAGAGAGAGTTTAGAGAGAGAAAGAAGTGGGGTGAGGGGTGAGGAAATGAGGGAACCCGGCACCTCTATTTATAGGGGTGGATTCTGATGTACTCGCCGAGTAGGGGGGACCTACTCACCGAGTTGGTCCATTTGGTGGCCTTCTGGTGGTGCCACGTGTCCAATTCTGGTGGTGCCACGTCACCCCTATCGTGTGTCAGCCCTCAAACTTAGAAAAATCATAACTTTCGCATACGAGCTCCGTTTTCGACGTTCTTTATATCCACGCGTAGGTAAAATAAAGATCTACAACTTTCGTTTAGACTCCGTCAGCTAATTCTTGACCGATCTCAAATTTAACAGTAGGAGGCGTTTAGACTGTTAAATGACCGCGAAGAGTTCATAACTCCTTCATCCGGACTCTGTTTTCGTCTGTCTTTTTACCGTTGAGTTTCTATTAATGAGACCTTCAACTCTCATTTAGGTCGCGTAAGCCAAAAACCGCTCGAACTAAAATTCGAGTTTCGGGCCGTGCACTACTAAGCCGAATCTTAGAAAAATCATAACTTCTTCATACGAAGTCAGATTTGGGCGTTCTTTTTATCGATGTTCTTAGTTTAACATATTCTACGACTTTTGTTTAGATCACTAAGGCTAAAAAGTCCTCCATCGTAAATTCACTATTTACGCTTCCCGGTGTCATGCCGGTTTTGCCGTAAAACTTCGACGGGCCATAACTTCTTCGTTATAACTCGGATTTCGGCGTTCTTTATATGTACGGAAACCTTGTGACATATTCTACAACTTGGTTAAGATTATTTATTCTAAATAATCTTTTGTCGAAAAGTCATTTTCGACCCCTATTGCCTCTAAATTGACTAGCCCGGATCTACGGGCGTTACACGTACCGGACCTCGTACGCGGGGCGTAATATGAGGGTGCGTGTCACTTATCCGAAGCGAGACCGTGGGCCGCAAGCGACGGCTGGGATTGTGCCACGTCATCAACTTCGCAACAGGTTTCGCATTTTCATGCTTCAACTTTAAAAATTCGTAACTTTCGCATACGAGCTCCGTTTTCAACGTTCTTTATATCCATGCGAAGGTGGGAACCTACTCTAAAACTTTCGTTTAGACTTCGTCGGCTAATTCTCGACCGATCTCAAATTTTATTTTATCAACGGGTCGGGATAGGATTGGTCTGTTAAATCCTCATAACTTCTTCATCCGACATCCGTTTTCGCCCGTCTTTTTCTCGTTACGTTACTCTTAACGAGATCTTCGATTCTCGTTTAGGTCGTTTCGGCTAAAAACTGCTCGATCAAACATTTGAATTTTGGGCAGTACACTGCTAGTCCGAAACTTCGAAAAATCGTAACTTCTTCATACAAAGTCAGATTTGGGCGTTCTTTTTATCGATGTTCTTAGTTTAACATATTCTACGACTTTTATTTATATTTCTAAGGCTAAAAAGTCTTCTATCGTAAATTCACTATTTTATGTCTTACGGTGCTGTGTCGGTTTTGCCGTAAAACTTCGGCGGGTCATAACTTCTTTGTTATAGCTCGGATTTCGGCATTCTTTATATGTACGGAAACCTTGAGACATATTCTACAACTTTATGTAGAGATATCGGGATTATCTCACGCTTTAATTTTGACGCTCATTTTTATTCTTTATTAACTATACATTTAAATAATAAACACATAAACACACATAATTCACATAATACTCAAATATTTCATATTTATTACTTCAAAAAGAGTTACAATAGTTGACCTAGACTATTACATTGACAAAAATGCTTAGCCCTGAAAACCCGGGCGTTATATGTATACACTTTAAAGGAAACCCATGCATACATAACCATCTTATTTCTTCTGGAAAGTTCTCATAAGAGCCATGCATGTGTACATAATTAAGTTGTAGTAGCATAACACTATCCATGTTACTCAATGCATCTGTTTTTAACTCAAATGATGCTCCCAACTTCACTTTCTCAAGCATGTGCAAGTCAAGGGCAAGGCCTAGAATATTTCCCTTACCCTAAGAAGAAAACATAATGCAAACAAACAAATTACGCAAAACAAAATAAATTTTAGACATACACGCTACTAAAAGCATGCATGGTCTTTTACCATTTTTTTGTTTCAACACTCTAAATGACTCCATATGACACCATAATCGACTTCGCTTCCACGGCTTGTCAAGTGATTATTTACACACTTCGAATCTTCCTATCTCTTGAACCAATTGATGCATCTTCAATTCATTATTCCCTCCAATACTAAGGAGTCATCTGTCAATGAGATTCGTGATTCCGAATCTGGTATTTATATCACGTGCATCTAAAATTGTTTTTGTAAAATCTCTATCTATCTTAACAAAAAAACAAGCAATATGCTTAAACAAGTCCTTTTCATTTTTGGATGGCAAAGAGTCGAAGCTCATTCTCAAGATGTTTTTTATAGGAGAACTAATTTCTTTCTTTAGCCCTTCTATGCACCCTTCCCAATACTCCACGTCGAGATTATACAGACTTGCCCAAAACTTCAAGAGCCAATGGATGTCCTTGACAATACTTCACAAGCTTATATGACACCTCTTCATAACCTACCTTGGGATGCTTACACAGGAATGCATGTGAACACAAAAGTTTTCGTGATCCAGTCTCATGGAAGCCTTCAAGGAAGAGTTTTGTATGTTTCGGCTTAGTGTTTGTTTTGAATAGTGTACAACTCTCTGTCAACCATCCGTCATTTGTTGTTATTATAACTTTGCTTCCAGAATGAAAACCTTTGCTTCCAGGTAATGCATCCAATTGAACAAGAGTACTGATATCATCAGGAACTAGAAACACTCTTTTACGGGCTATTGCATTCTCTATCTTCGCGGTGTATACTGAAACATCATGAACTCTAATTGAACTTGTTTTTGAAATGTCATTGCAAAGTTGTTCTTGTAAATCAAGCAAACCATTAAACTTTCCAACACATATCCTACTAATATCTTCAATATAGCTGCTTTTGTGAAATTCCTGCCAATATAGCCTAAACACATGTTTAGCTAAAGATGATTTTCCGATCCCGCCTATACCCGAAATAGTGAGTATGTCAGTTGTACGTGAGGATGCATCTTTCAACCATGAAGTGACAAAATTAATATGATAGTCCATCCCAATAAGGTGTTGGTGAACACTCCTTAAGGGTACATGTAATCTACGGTGGATATCTTTCACAATTTCTTCAATGAAATCCGTCTCTAGCCTGAAAAACTTGATTTATTTAAAGGCTTCTTCACACAATCTACATACTAACAAGCCAGATTTGGAGATTATATTTATCCAATGATCCAAATTAAAATTCTATCATAGCGATTGTTTTTAATAATCTTCTTCACATCAGAACTATATTGCATTTTCACTTCTGACCATATAAGCATCTAATGTGTAAGGTCATAAATATAAAAACAATCAATGTTGTTAGAATGTATATTCCTGTTATAGTCTTGTTATATTCTCGCCCAACCCAATGTATATATAGCATAGAGTTACATTAGTTATGTAGATTAGTTTTATCTAGTTTCTTATTTTGATAATTAGATTGTATATATAACGAGGCTTTGACCTCACAATTAAGTATGAACAAATTTAATAAATTTGATTATTTCTTTGATAAATGTGCTACAAGATTTCACTAATGGGCCATTTAAGTTCACTATGTTTTTATAAGACCATTAAACTTAACTACCAATGTGGTTTTGCATGTGTTTGAAAAAACAAACCAGTTATAGTTTATCCTCTACTACTTACATGCAAGAGAAGTTATTAATTATAAAAATTATATGATATGAACGTAATATGATATAATCAATAGTAAATGCATAACAAACGGTTCAAATTTAGATTTTTAAAAGTAAGTATATTAAAATAAGTGAAAATGGTTGATTATAACGAACTACCTTACGATAAATACTAAATCCATAAAGAATATGCCAACTTTATCATAATGGTGAATCAATATTAGATCACGTAAAAGGATACATGGATTCAACTTTGTTTATGAAATACCAATAACATGTTTTCCCTAAGTATTTCAATTCAATTTTTCAATATCATCAAATATGCATATATTTTAGGGTTAGTCTCATAAAAAAAACCTTATATTTTGTATTTTTTTCCTGATTAAAGCTGAACTTTATTTTTTTTTTCCTGAAATTGAGCTTCCATTTTTTCATTTTTTCTATTTTGCCCCTTTTAGTCATTATTTTCCGAAAAAAGTTTTAAAATGTGAGACTTTGTTCGGAAAAACTAAAATAGTGGAGGGTCTTGTCAGAAACAGTTATAATGATGAGGGTTTTTTCCAGTAAAAAAGACGAAGTTAAGGGTTTCTGGAAAAAAATGAAAATAAAAATGTAAGGTCTTTTGGATGATATTAAAAAAAAAAAAAAAAAAAAAAAATTGAAATAGGTAGGGAGAAGATGGTATTGGCATTTCATGCGTTTATTCAAACAAAATTAATTAAAGGTGTACCAAAATATGAGTAACAACGTAGTTACCTTCCATAAACATCATTTCCTTTTAAATTAGCAATGTCTGTAAGCGCTTTATTCCATCGGTCCATCTTTTGAGCAAAACTGACTTCTTTTGGTTACATTTATCTCTACCTCCATTTTCTGCTTAGGCTTAGCCATTGCATCTCCAAAGCTACTTTGTTGCTTCCTAACATGGGTGGGCTCTACATGATAAAATATGGGGATGACAATATGGCCAGATGTCATACGCTGCTCAAGGATCAACACCAATTCATCAAGGCACCATGTTAAAGAAGCATAATTCTTGGACAACACGATAATAGAAGCCGTGGATGCCTTAATCGCATTTTCCAATTCCGGTTTCAAATCTTCCCCTGCTTCAATCTCTTCATCATCCAAGAAGGTACTGATATTGGCATCAATAAGAGCCTGATAAAGGTAATTGGTGAAACTACGACGAGTGTCAAGACCTCTAAAACTTAAAAATATGTCATATCTATGATCGTGAGTTGATGAACTATGGCCATGAGTAGATGAAGAAGATGAAGATCCTTCTGGAAGTTCAAATAGAACAACCATTATGAGTTATGGGTGTCTCTTAGTAATCTTTGAAACTCCTCCACACGTTATCGGTTAAGAAAGTGGTTTCACCGGCTTTCCTCACTTTTGCTTCAATGTCAGGATCTGGTTCATGATGCCTCTACAAAATTCAAAACTAATATATCTATATATGCAACTTAAATCTCATCAAAAAATTCAAAACTCAATGATAATAATAACCTTGAATTCTTCAAAAGGAAACTTTTAAATAAATAGAATACAACACGTATGAGCTCTGATTGTATTAATATGCCACTTTTTATTCCTAAACTTCTGAGTGTCCAGTTCATTTTGGAGCTATATAGTGCATAATGTGTATATGTTTGTTTTAACACTTGATTTTGATTTAATTAACCCACATAAACATCCCTACTATTGTGTAAATTTATCCATATGAAGTTCACTTAAACAAAATAACACTAAATATGATTCTGTAAACAACTACAAGATTCACTATTACCCCCCTCAAGAGAAATTGCAATACATGGAGCAATTTTAAGCATGCAGTAGATATCAACAAACAACTAAAAGATCTAAAAAAAAGGAGTACGTTTCTTGACATGGTAGTTTATAGATCCCCCAAATTAGCAGCGAAATCTTTTCAACTTTGAAATTCACTATCACTGGAACTAGTATCAGCTTAAATCTAAAGGCATGTCCTCTCTAAGGTTTCAATTTCAAACTCTCAGAAATAAATGAACAACGTTAACTGAAATAGACAAAATCCAATCATCTGTTAACTAAATAAACACATAATTATGATGTAAGAATGTCGTTCACAATTACCTGCCAACTGGAAGAAAATGAGACCTGACGCAGTGGTGATAGAGGATGAACTAGCAGTGACTAGGCTAAGAAAGATGACGACTAGAAATTACAGAGGGTCTCCATTGCCTTACGAATCAACGGTGTTATTCTTTCAAGGCAATTAATGGTAAATTGGGATGAATTCGAAGAATTGTTTAAGTCAGCAGCGAAGAACTAGTGGCCTCTTATGGGGTAAATTCCTAAGACCCTCCACATGGGGTCTTTCAAAAAAAGCTTCCAATATATATATATATATATATATATATATATATATATATATATATATATATATATATATATATATATATATATATATATATATATATATATATATATACTAGCAGTGCACCCGCGCAAAGCGGCGGGGCGTGTAAATTCTTTTAGTGATATGTTTCCTCTACAAAAATGTTATGTTACAAAAGAAAGTACACGTCGAAGACAAAATAATCAAACTATGGTGTTATTTGGGAAATGAAGTCATTTTTTGTTCCTGGACGGTGGACTTTATAGTAGAGGAGGGAGCAAAGAGGTATATGCGATTGGAAGGATATTTGAATCAACATGCTAAATTTAAGGATATCTAAAAGAGTTCAAAATTTGAATGAATCCGAGATTTGAGGAAACCATATCAAATTGTTGAGAAATATAAGGAGATTTGATGATAAATATTTGAATTCAAAATATGGTTAAAATTTAATATTAATTTATTAATGATTACTTGTACTATCAGCTTCATCATTTGGACGTCTTAAAAAAATATTATTATTATAATCAATCTATTTTTAGAAATAGTTAGATTTCTTTTATAAGATAGTAAAGATATATATATATATATATATGGTAAATTCAATTCAGAGAAAGAAAAAAGATTTAAAATGGGTGATTTATTCTCGATCAATCATTTATTGTTTACATAAAACACATCACTGTACCAGCGCGAGGTGGAAGAGTTAATATCCATATATGAATCCACCACCTATCAAAGACAATTATTGAAATCGTTTATATCCTTCATTCTGCTGTTACTGTGGAGTTAAAAACATTGATGTCCTAGGTAAAGATATACCAATTATATAATTATACATTAATTTAGATAAGTTTTTATAGAGTTTCTATTTTTTATAATCTTCTCTTGACACCGACTGTGAGGCGCTTGATTGAGGTGATATAGAGAATGGAATCAATCCACATATGGATCTTCAGTGACCAAGGGTAAAATAAAGTCTAATGCCCATGGTTCATGGCATGGTCACAATATCATATGGAATGAAAGCTAATTTAACATCCGTAACTTGAGGTAATAATACTTATTTAATACATTTGTAATTAATTGTTGGACTATGAGATAAATAGTGGATTATTGAGTTGGGCCTTAGCGAGTGGGCCGTCATGATTAGGTTGCCCGGAGACGTACGTTGGGCGTAAGCTTGGCGTACGCGAGGTGTAGTGCAACATTGGATGCAGGGGGTTCAGGTGCGTATGTGCAACATACCAAGGAGTAGGCTCCGCGTACGCAAGTAGACTCAAAACCCTAATTTTTAGGGTTTAAGCCATATAAATACCTCGTTGTGTCCCAAATCTTAGCCTCCTTACCAGCCACCTCGACTCAAAACTCTAGAAACCTTTCTTTCTTCATCTTTGTGTGTTTTTGGCCTTGTGGAACTTATTTTGGTGATTTGAAGCTTGGAAAGAGAAGGAAGAAGTTGAAGAAGAAGAATTTGATTAGCTTAAGCTCAAGGGTCTGAGATAGCATCACCATTTGGCATTCATTTGAGGTAAAAAGCTCTCAACTTGCATCATGAATGCTTAGATCTATGTTAATGGTGTTTTGGTCCCTTTTAGGTCCCAAGAATGGATTTTTATAGATCCTATCCTTTTGTTGGCTTAGGGTTGCCACCCTTAGTGCAAATTCAGTCCCAAGAACAGAAAATCTTACATCTTGAAGGTCTTATTGTGATCATGCATGAGTTTTAGTCATTTACATGAAAGGTAGTTGATATATTTCAAGTTTGGGTCCATTTGGTAGGTTGCAAGCCACCAAGTAATTGTCTTTATGGGTTAACACATGTTGGTGGACTCAGATCTGTGTTTAAAGCATAAGGTCATAAGGGATTAAGCGTTTTTGAGGAATATGGCTTAACGGTGTAGTACGATGGGCGTACCAGCCAGTACGCGTTGTGTACAAGCCATGTAGCATGTACACTTAGCGTATAGAGGCGTACGCCCCTCGTACTCATGGATTTTGGGATTCGCATTATTTGCGCCTCGGTTTGGGCCATTCTTTGGATTTCTTAGCTGTTCGGACTTGGTGGGCTACCTGAAGTCATTTGTAGGCTAAGGTCATGTTTGAGCTTAAGGAAGGCCCATTTGAGGAGTTGGGCCTAGTTTAAAAAATTAGGCCATTAGTGGGATTAGAAAGACTTTATAGGTTTGGACCATCGGTGTTATGGATTTGGAGCTATGTTATGGTCCTAATTAGATCAGGGGTAAAATGATAATTTTACCTTAAGAAGGATTATTGAGTTTGACTAAGTGTTATTTTTTTTTTATACTGATAGCTCGGGGAGGCGTTGGAGCAGCCATTAGGGACTCCATACCGTGAGATTCTACATTCAACATTGCGAGGTGAGTTTTCCTCTTGTAGGAACGGGTTGAAGGCACCAATGTCGGCGCGTGTATGTATGTTAGCATGTTCCAGACTAAGGTCCAATGCTGGGCAGTGCTCAATGTAGGTTTACATGTTTCTGGATTTAGATCCGATCCCGGGTAGTGCCCGAAGAATGTTTGTATGCTTGATGTCTTCGTGATTCTTGCATGTGTCTGTATTGTATGTTTCCAGATTACAGTCCGATGTCGGGAAATACCCGACGAATGTTTGTATGTTTCCGGATTTCGGTTCGATGTCAGGCGGGGCCCGAGGAATGTTTATATGTTTATGTTATATGATTATTTTATGTGTATTTGTTGTTATGTTTATATGTATACCTACCTTTGCTCGATGCCGGGCGGGGCCCAATGCCTGAATCTGTCCGATGTCTGATGAGGCCCGATGCTGGACATTGTCTGATGTTGGGTGGGGCCCGATGAAGCGGGCGAGGCCCATGATGTGTTATTATGTGGTTATGTGATTATGTATGGTATGTGGTAGTATGGGGATACTCAATAAGCTTCGTGCTTACAGTTTTCAGTTTTGGTTTCAGGTACTTCTGGTAGCAAGGTGAAGAGCTCAAGATGATTGCAGTGCACACACCATGATGCTAGCCTGGGGATTATTACTATGATATATTTGATATATGTTTGATATGGATATACTGCTTTTGATATTTTCAGATATTATGGTTCATGTTTTGACAAATGATTTTTAGTAATTATGGTTTATTTAGTGATTTTAAAATAAATCTTTGGTCATGATTTTTAGGGTGTCTCAAGTTGTTATCAGAGCCTTGGTTTGAGGGATTCGGGCACACTCTCAAGTGTGTCTGAACTCAAACTGAGGAATTGGTTTGAAAGCTATTATAAAGAAAATCATTTTTATAAAATGGACTTTTAAAAGAGAAAAGGGTGTTGTGCATGCAATCAGCTGAGCTCAAATAAGTTCTCCCAAATTAACCATACATGTTTATGATATGATATGAATTGTGAATATATGAACTGGATGCTAGATTAGGGTTAAGCATCTAGGAAGGATGTCTTGTATGCCTATTGTATGAGCTTATTTGAACTGCATGCTGTTACTGATTAGTTAGTAATATGATGACCTAATTAGGATATGCTTGATTATGGTTACTCAATGCTTGAATGATGCTTGCTTTATGCTTTTAGGAGTTCTAGTTATCTTTAAATAACTAGTAAATGAATATGTTAAGTGAAATATTACGAGGACTAAATAATTTTAGAAGGTTAGGTTTAGCCTTATTTCACAAATCTCGTCTAAGTCTAACCACTGTAGGGGGAGACCTCTCATTCGAAGAATTATCTAGTCTTAGTAATATGTAATGCTATTTAGGAGCTAGTTAGGGAAGGATATCAGGGACTTCTTATGCAGCTAATAGCGGAGAGTGGGTTGGAGATTACCCTAGGGCAAGGCTAGGATGAGATCTACACAGAGATCAACAGCAGTGAAAGGGATTTGGTGGAGTCAAGGCAGTTTTTGAGGAAAGTACGGACAAATG